GTCACTGACCAAAAAGGCCAAACCAGGGAGCAGATGGCAAGGAGAAAAGAGATCCAGGAGGAGCAGCGTGGACGTAGCCCAAGGTGAGGATCAGACATATGGCAAACCAGATCGGAGAGCAAATCCAGTTGTATGGAGAGTCAAATATTTAAATGCAGTTTAATGTCAAGTGTAAATGTCAAAACAGCTTTGAGCTTTGCAATAAAAGCCCCACTTATGCCAAAATCCATTGAAAAACCTGGCACTAGCTAGCTTACTGGCAAACTCTGCATCCAATAACATGAGTCACAAACATTACTGGTTTTTTGGAGGCCACTGAGCAGTTCACCACAGAAAAAATGCACAGAGAAGAAAGAAAAGTGTTGTTCCCCCAGTCCTCCTCCTAACACAGTCCCCCACGGAGGGCAGCAGGGAGCCAATGTAGAAAAAAAAAGTTCTCCACTGTCGATTGTTGGACTGTGTGAAAGCTGAAGTGAAATGTGACACTTAATATTTAGCAGGAAGACTTAAACATTACATACTATGAATCAGATTATCCAGTACTGAAGGCTCTGAACACCTAGTTTCTCAGTCAGCATTTTACTATGAGCAAAAACACAATTACTTTGCCTGTGTCAGCATTTTAAAATAAGCGTCATTTTTCCCATGCTGCACCAGTTCATTCATAAGGAACTAAAGGCTTGTCATTAAGCCCAAGCAGCCTGCATGCCTCGGAGCCACTGGGAACATGTTCTTCTCTATATCCTCTTTTCAAAAGACCTTCACTGAGAGTCCAACATAAGCTTTTCTGTTAAAAAAAACACCCATTGTTTTGCCTTCAGCTTGTCTGTATTTTACAGCTGTGCGTGACTGATTGTCTGAGACAGGAGGATTTGGGGTGGGGGTACTGGTGAGCAATGCACCACCAGTTTAGACCTATTGATCTCCATGCTCCCAGTCTGTGTCCGTCCCAGCTGGTTTTGCAGGAAAACAGGGAAACCATGGGGGTGTTGAGGTTAGCCTCTTACACACACACACACACACACACACCTTGGGGAAGCCTACAGATCTACATTTAGAAAACTTAAAGTGTGTGTGAGAATATTCAGTGGGCAGGCAAAGATGACTTCTGCTTTATGGAGATTGAGAGGCACGACAGCTCACTTCCACCTCAGCCTTGATTTTACCCAGTTCAATATCAGACTCTCAATTACACTTAAAAAGCAATATGTGGCTGATAGATCCCTGCTCAGTCAGGTTGTTGCTTTTGCCATAACAGTTCATCCAATTTTACTGTAACTCAATCCAAGATTCATTAATCAAGATGGAAAACTAACCTCTTGCCTTCTACAAAAATGGTGATAAATAGTGTCCTATCTCTAAGCCTGTTACTGCAGACAGATTTAGGAATTTATTTTGTTTTGCACTGGAGAGTGAGAAAATGATCTTGAGTTTAATATTAAAACAATTTGTCAAAACTGCACATGTGGGGAATCCTGACTGATCTGGTCTTTGGATAGTTTATAGATTTCCCCTTTATGACTCAAACCTGAGCCGTTTCATGCTGTGATCCACTTATTTTTGCAAAATTAAGAAAAATGTCCAATGACAAATGATGTCCAACCACACAGCTTCATTTCAAAGGACACAAGTTTTCATCCATCAGATTAATGGTCTGGAAGGTGGGTATAAAAAATGTTAACTATTTCTGTCTTTTGGGATTGCACTGCCAAAGGCTGTGTGGAGCTGGACCTTTTCACATGAGCCAGATAGGAGTGGCTTCTTATGACATTTCACTCACATAAATGCCACGACTGTATGTGTGTGCGAGTCATGTCTGTGTCAGCCTGGTTTGAGCTAAATGCTAACACCAGCATGCTAACATAGTACTCACTATGAAAAGGCTAACACGTCAGTGTTTAGCGGGGGTAGTGCTGGGAACCAAGAATGTCACAAAAAATTTGGTGCCAGTCTAGTACATGCTGAGATATTTCACAGGATAAGTAGCAACTGTGACCTGCTTGTGGGACTAGAACTCATCCTCTGGGGACCATGAATTGACACAAAGTTGTCAATGTGATAGTGGTGCTAGAGGTAAAAACAGGGGGTCACTAAAGTCAGAAGCATTCACTCTCTGGAGACCATGAACACCTGTACAAAATTTTATAGCACTCCATCAAAAAGTTGCTAAGATTTTCACTCTGGACCAAAGTGATCAACCAACCAGAACTGTCATCCATAGAGTCATTTGGCAGTTATGGCTAAAAACATACTCTGTGTCTGAACAGTTGCAAATCATAACAACACAAACTTGGGAGAACAATGGCAATCACTCTGTAATCAAGGGAGTAGCTCACTTATACAACATGGCTAGGTAAAATGTGGGACACATACAGTACAAGACAGGGTGGACTGCAGCCTTGCTAAAGACCAGTTTTCTACCAGTTCAGTCCACCCATAGGGAATGTTCAGGACCAGAGCTGTGCTGAGGCGCTCTGCTTTTCCTTTTCTGCTATTCCTTACTGACTACACTATCTGGGTCAGGCTAAACACCATTACAATCTGGACCCACTGCTATTATAGTACCCAGTGGTGCACAGCTGCATGCTAGGTGTGTTAGCATGCGTCTGTAGCTGCTGTTACTTTGCAGGAAAATATCCTTACATTTCATACGTACAATAATTTTTTAAGGTTCAGTGTTTTAGTCGCTGCTTAGTGATAAAGTGTTGTAATTAAGTTTGTGGTTTCCCATTTCTCCACCCTACCTCATTCCACCTCGGTGAGTTACTCTGTTTCTCTAATTTCCTAGAATGGGTCTGAGTAAGCCTCAGAGAACTTCCATGGAAAACACTATTCAATCTGTCTTATGACAAAATAAGAAAATGCGCATTGTTAGAACAAAGTAACAATAATGGCAGCAGTAATGGCAAGAAAGCAGATTTTTCCACTTAAAAAAGCAAAAGTGGTGTCCTTCACTCAAAGGTCAGTAATCATGTCATCCATATTACATTCTGGTTACTGAGGCTGTACTCTGGGTGGAGAAAATGTTAGATGATCTGCATCTGGCACAACACTACTCCCCTGTGGGTCTAATGAATATAAAAGCAAACCTTGCTGTCTGAAACTGAGAGCCTGACACCAAAACCTGATCATTGCAGCTGTTGTTTTGCTTAATAAAGGTTACTAAACTCCATTTTGCAGGGAACACAGTAATGTCATTGTAACAACAATATGGGTACAGAAAAAATATCAGATAACACCTTCAGGGAATGGTTGATAATTTAGGCAATAATCTCAGTTTCTTTCTTTACCAAAAGTTAGATGAGATTAATACCATTTTGCATGTTTTGTGTTAAATATGAAGCTACTGACAACAGCCCTTAGATTAGCTTAACAAAAAGATTAGAGACATGAGGAAACAGGTAGACTGGCTAAGTCCAAAGGTAACAAAATCCACCTTCCAGCAAAGCTAACTGCTGGCTAGCAATAGCTTCATATAACCATGAGGGCATGAGTATGGTTGCCTATCTGCTCAACTCTCTGCAGGAAAGCGAATAAGTGTATCACCTATTTTACTTAGGGAAACTCAAAAATATGTGGATATTAAAAATGAACCTTAAATCTTTAATCATGAGACCCAAATCTAATATTAATGCATGTTGCTCAGAAAATGTTTCCTCCATGCAACTGTAAAGAGCACAGATATGTCTTTCATTTCTGACATTTACTGTTCACCCTACTGCCCTGTTTTCCTGCCTCTGACAACCTAAAACATCTCAGGCATCATGTACTGTGTGTGACAGAGTCACTGTGTGATACATAGGCTTGTTGTGTGAGGAAAAGCAGCCTGGCAGCCACAGGGCATTTGCCAGGCCCTGCACAATACTGTCACTGCTTCAAGTGATACTGTAGCTTTTCAAGCAGATGAAACAAAGTCGTCTGGTTCACAGAGAGCTTTTTGCTCCATTCAGCTGCTACAATACTTCCTTTTCACTAAGATGTCAAGACAGTCAAAGGCTCACGTCCGACTTATTTTTTGAAAGGAGACTGTTGTTATACTGAAGAGTTATAGTAAATCAAAATTTTGTATGGCTAATAATTCCTGTTTTTCCAGTACATGGCACAGTATTTTTCTCTTTTGTCTTCTGCTGTACATGTAACATATGCGTGACTGCACCAGTTCTTCAAATTAAGCTAATGCAAAGTAAAGCACACTAACATGATCCGATTAAACGCCATCCAGCTCATTTGCTTTTTTGTGTGGTTTGATATCTTGAGATTAAGATATCTTCTTTATTTGAAATTAAAGCATGCACTGGTGAGCTGAGAGTTGAAACCATGATCAGCATCCATATCACAGGTTAGTATAAGACTATGCCTCCAAAAGGCATATTTTTCTACAACTATGCAGTCCATAATATATAGCTGAAACAGGCTTGTGTCAAACCATCAACTATTAAACCAAGCTAAAATTGGTTACATACAAAGACCAGGGCTCAACAGAAGATTTACTGTATTGTTGACAAGACTAGTGTTCAGTCCCCACCCAAAGTTGATGCCCACACAGGCATCAGTAAACCTTCCTGTCACAAGCTCCCCTCATGGCCATTTAACTGGGTCATTAGATTAGAATTATTTACCCTCAACAGTCTGAACATGGGTAAAAGTAAACTTTGCCTAATCCACAAAAGTAAATGTAAATCCCCCAGAAAAAAGATTATATTTATGGTTTGACTCCAGACATGACTGTGTATTGTATATGTAAAAGCTTGTGTTAGAAAGAGCTAACAAGGACAAAAACAGGCCATCATTTTTCAGCTGCAGGGAAATAAACAAGCCTTACAGTAAGCCGCACCTGTGCAATCATGACAGTATCACAGGTGTGTCCTCTGCTCAGATGATTTAACCCTGTTTTACATCCCTGGAATTGGTTTGTCTGTCAGCCCTTTTCCACCATAGGCCACCGATTTACCACTCCTTGTGCAGGCCTCACTGCAACAAACGTTGTTTACATCGATTACCTTAATTTATAGTGGTCTCTCCAGTTTGTAGGAGCTGTCTTAGTACTTGTTCCAGCTGTTTCCGAGTCCGTGTCCGGTCCTGGCACTGCCAGTATCTGATCTTCAGTTGTCTTCTTGGCTAATGGCTCTCACTGGAGGTACCATGCTAACATTAGCGTTAGCCGCCACAGAGTTGTGGAGTAACTTCGCCTGTCGCAGGACTCGTACCTGCCGTTTTATCCTTTAAAGCATTTCAAAAGTTAACTTTGGTAATTAACGTTAATAATCAGAGTTATTCTTGGTCTCGCTTCTCTTATTTCATTTTTAGCTATTTCAATGCCGGTCTCATGTCTCCTATTTTCCGCCATTTTTGTTTACTTTTTTTCCCCAGAAGGTCGCGAGAGCAGCTCATAACACCTGACGCCAAACTGACCAATCAATCAACATGACAGTATTAGTATTAGTATTAGTATTAGTATTAGTATTAGTGGTATTATGTTATTAATGATCTGAACTTGAAACACTGGAGCAAATGTATGCTTTTGCATTAACTCTACTTTTATCAACAATAAGTATTAGTGACTGCGTGGTTTTATGTTTTTAATGTATCAAAATACTGATATCTATCATACAACCAAAATGTTTCTCATTCAAATGACAGCCAGTATACCTTCTGAGCCCAGATAAATTTCAACTCAGATTTGGAATTTGTATAGATTTAATACCTAAACCTCCTTTTTGTGCATTTAATTTGAAATAGAGGGAAGGAAATTCTTGTCTTGTATTTTAAGAAAAAAACAAAACTATGTTTTCATTTTTAAACTGAGAAGTTTACTACTCTAAATCTCTGCTGTATTGAGAATGTAAATAATACTATATTAAATGGCTTCCTAGAAACTTTTTTCATACCTTCATGGGGTGTTTCATGTCCAATTTTACACTCAGAAAGCACAACACAGTATAACATTGCTGATTGCAAAGCTGTTCACAAAAACACAAATTGTCTAGAATTTTTCAGCTGCTCCTCCTCCAAATTTGGTAGAGCATGTTTTTACCTGCTTTGACCTATATTTTATTCGTGCTTACACAAGCTCTCGAGATGGGAGAGTCCGAATGACAAGCACCACCACACATTTTAATAACCAAGCTATTGGTTTCCATACTCAACTTTGAGGTGAAAAAAGAAGCCCCTTGACAGCAGCCTTTTTGGCTCAGAGAAAAATGTGCATCTTGGCAAGAATCCAGTGATGCCATGGTGAGGAATATCTGATGTGCCAACTTTAACATGGGCTAAAACTGATTTCAAAATACCAGATTCAATGAGCTGACTACAGCATATCCATTAATACTTCTCATCTGCTTCAAATGGAAGACAGATGTACTTCCTCTGAATGAACTGGGTGCTGCTGAATTGACATTTCAAAAGCAAGAAAAAGCATTTCATGCAAGTCACCACATTTGACATCTTGTTTGCTCTCAAACAGAAACACACACTTCAATTCCTTCCGCATTTATTCTAAGGGGAAAATATATAATTCAATAAATATTATGGCAACAACATTGGCAAAGACATTTTGAAGGTGACATCAACATTCAAGAAAATATGATCATGTACACAGGGAAGAGACAACTCTTATACTTACACGGTTGTTAAAGGAAAATGACAAATTCAAAACCACTGTTTCTGAAGACTTTAGAAAAGTCCATTTCAAACTGGCTCCCATTTGTTGTTTGCATTTTGATGTATTCAAAATAAGGCCCACAGACATAAAGGGCCCTAAAACTTTCAAACCATGTAGGTAAAATAAAATCATCCATTTTAAACATTGGTGTGACCAGGCCTTTATGGGGATTTTTCTTAACAGCAGAGTCAAAAATCTTCAGCGAAAATTGTAATTGTTGCTTTCATTTTCCAATCTCTCGCTAAAGTGCAGTGGGAAAGTGATTCACAGCTCAAACCGGCTGTCCGCCTGTTAGGACATCCTCATTTTACACAATTTTCACTTGTTAAATGTTGGTCAATTAAATGTTTTTGGCTCACTAAATATCTATTAAGAGCTTTAAAACATGTTATACAAGTTATTTCTGCTTTTAGAATTTTTAAAACAATGTCACAAGTTGATGAAAAGGGAGGGACAACTTGGATTTGTTTATCACATGGAGTTTCTTGTGGGGGTGGGGCTTATGACTCCTCAGTATCATACAAACAAGTCCATAAATATGTCAATGTGGAGAATGGTTGTCTTCAGATTGTGTAGCTGTTGCAATGTCTGACAGGTACAGACGTGCAGTTTTAAACTCAAACAGATCAGGTGTGATTAGAGGAATCTTTCCGGGCCTAGGATCAGCTGTTCATGGTTGAACCTCATCAGGAAGAAGCTAAAACAAAACAATTATTCAATTACACACCAATGACTTCACATTATACCAACAACATATCAGAGGCAGGGGACACACAGCGTCAGGTTTCCTTCCTCTGTGCAGACAGACTAACAGTTACACAAACAGGGCAGAGCGTGAATCAGTTCCAAACCACAGTGACACGTTGTTGTATAAGCCCTCCAAGCAAAAAATCTTTGATCAAGCACAAACAACAGCAGCTCCTGCGTTTTTTTCCCCAAAGGCAGCAAACCCCCATCTTCGGCTTTGGCACTCATTCGAAACATCACATTCTCTTAAACCCTTCCTGAACAAATGAGCGTCTCCTAATGACATCACTCCTCCTGCACATTTCCTGTTAGTGTGGAAAACCTCGAGCACATCCGCCTCATCCTCCCAGAGGAAGTAGGTAGCCCACTGAAATATCTTCCTCGTCTGGTGGGGCAGGGGGCCACATGGATTGGGACGCTACGACACAGTGAGTTTTCATTGGTGCAGACTATTCCAGTAACATGTACATGAATTGAAGCTTATAAAACCCCTTTCCAGACAAATAAGGGGTCTGTAGCATGCAGGAAAGAGCAAGGCCCAATAGCTTCCTGCTTGCACTACGCTCTGTCCTCATTCTCCTCAGTCCAACCCCCCTCTGTTGGATCAGTCACATGACCGAGCAACTTTTGGCTTTGTCCTTCCGGAGGTCCGAGGCCACAGTTGCGAGGTCGGGCCTACCGGGCATGTGTGAAATCCTCTTGCTGGCGCGGGCGGCCTTACTGCGCTTGACATTTTTGTTGTTTTTGTTGATGCAAGCCAGCGTGGCCACATGGAAAATGTCCCTGACGCTGTTCTCTGACTGCTGGGCCGAGCACTCGATGTAGGGTGCAGAGAGCTGCTTGGCCATGCTAGAACCCTGAGAGAGGCAGAGGTCGAATATGATCACCACCAGAAGAAAAGGCTTGCAACTTAGCACATTAAGTACTTGCATCAACAATGGGGGAAGGATTTTCACCTTTAGGGTTTCATTAAAGCTTTTGTCATTTATAAAACTTACCTGGTCATAAGAGACTGGTGTCTGTCTGTGGTTGGAAAGCTCCACTAGTGTGCTCAGATCAGTGCGAAGGTCGGACTTACAACCAACCAACAGCATCTTGGTGTTTGGGCAAAACTCCTGGATCTCCCCTTTCCACTGCAGAGAAAGACAAAAGCTCTCAGCATCATTCAGCGAAAATGTTTCCCCCTAACTCATTCCACAGCAGTGAGAAAATGAGGAACGATCTACCACAGCTGTTAGAAATGGTATAACATCAGCAGGAGATCAATATTTAGCTGGGTTTTCCTAACAAATTACAAAGGAATATAAACCAGACAGAACCTCCTCCTTACAAATGACAATTTTACTGTGATAAAGTGCTAAAACACGTGGTTAAATGTGCATGCTGAACAGGATGATCTGATCCCACCACCCCGTCACCTGCCCTTTCAGTACAAAGATTAAAGCTGCCACATCCTGGAGCTCCTCGTGCTTTGGCCGCTGGAACAAAACTACAAATAATCCTCATGTTTCCTCCCTGACAACAATTAATGTTCTGTGGTATTTCTCCAGGGGTTTTAATCTGAGCCTCAGGACTGGCTGGTGAGCGGATCAAGATTGTCGACATCCAAAGAGAAACCCATTTAGTACAGCATGTCTGTTATTTTCTGTTTGCACAAACAACCACTTGACAATAAGCCTAGACCAATGCTAGTTGTAATCTGACACATGGCCTTAAGAAAACACAGTTTTATCACCAGACAATTTCTATTTATGTTTCTAATTTCTGCTACTGTAATGTAAATAAGATAAGCATTGGTGGACCTCGATCCATGACTTCAGTATTTCTTATTCCCCACCTTTGGTGTGTGAATGTGCATGAGGCAAACTGTAAAATGCCTTCTCTGTTAAGGTATAAAAGTGCTATATACATGCAGTCCATTTACCATATATATACATACCCAGGTGGATCTGACTGGGCTAGTCATCAGCTGTGATTATCCTAATGCATCATAATAATTGCAGGAGAAAACGTTTTGTGATGTGGAGGAAAAATAAAATGTACTGCTACGCTTTTCAGCCACATCTGCACATTAATTGGTGGGATCATTCTGCTGCCAGTCTTCTCTCACTATTTGGGTCTGTTCTGGTCAACCACATTTTGGATGTTTGGTCTATTATGATTATGTCTACATATTCTTGGTCTCCTTTCAGACTGGGGCTCTTGAAAACAAGAGGTTCCTTGTGAAAGAAGTGTTTTACTGTAGAAAATGCTTTTCCAATTAATCAGATGACTGATGCTGCCTGTTCGAATTCATGATCAATACATGCTCAGACATGTGGGAGTCAGATGTACAGTATCAGCTCCACATGAGCAGCTTGTGGCTCTGGAACACCTCAGTAGAGAACATCAAATTCCTTCTTCCAGGACTTAACCCAGCAGCCTTCCAGTCACACTACAACTTTATGACTTCACATCACAAGATCTGATTGAGGCTACAAAAAAAAAAAAAAAACTCGTATAAAACATGGTCTTTGTCAGCACATGAGTATTTAGTGTTTTAAGGCTCAAGGCTTCTGAGTGACAAACCTTTTTCAATACACTGTCAAGTGTTTCAGGGCGACTGATGTCAAAACAGATGAGGACAGCGTCAGAGTCTGGGTAGGAGAGAGGCCTCACGTTGTCATAGTACGGAGATCCTGAAACAAAGGAAAACCACAAAACTCAAACAGGATTCACATAACATTCAGGTTCAGTTTAGTTTTTGAAGGTGTTGCGCAAGGACAGGGACACAAATCTACACACGCCCAACACAAACTGTCACTGTGCTATATTTTCAGTCCATTCTTGTAAATTAATGACTGGCCTGAAGTCAGTTCAACTACTACAGGCTTCATTTTATACCACAAAGATTCAGTTTGGTGTAGGATGCTATTCTGGAGATCTAGCTCCAGAAAAACTTCACTATTATTGCACAAGTTGTCCAATTTAAGACCTGCTCAGTACAAGGTACTCTTTGTTTTACTTAGAAGTCTTACATTTGTGCAAATCAATCAGTCTGACAACAAGAAACAGTGTTAGGTGTCTCCTGCCTCCACATATTGGAGAGGAAATCTGTTGCTGCACACATGTTTTAAAGGAAATGCAGTAGTTTTCTACTTAAAGGGATACATTTGAAGTGGGAACATGTACATTCAGACCCCGATTCTTCTGTAATCCTGAATTTTGTCTTCAGTGCAAAGGAAATACCTGCTTTCAAGTGAGGCAAAGCAACCAAATCTGCAAAAAACCTCAAACATACTGTATTTTTGAAGGCCAAAAACTCTAAAACATTCTCTTATGACATGATTACAGCACAGGCATAATCTATAGCAACCAGGCAAGAAACACAAATAATGCAGCATCAGTAAAAAAAAAAAATAAAGAAAAAGAAAGTGCTGACTACAACGAGATCACTTGTTGAAGAAATCCTCTGTGGAGGAACAGGGAACTTCAGACAGAGGAAATAACTCGCTCTTCAAAATTGAAACCATGTGTGAGGGAGACGCCCAATCTCTAAGCTAGGCTGGAACATCTCCAGAGATGAAGGATGAGGAAGGGAGGGTGGCGTCATGTCAAGGTGAGTCAAGATCACATGATGACAAAGAGCTGACCACACACATAACTGGCTGCCAAGAATCTGGAGAATTTTGTTTTTGGTAATTGAAGGTTCCCCTGGGAGGTCCTTTATAAACACCGCAGTGGAGAAAAGCCAGACACACACACACACACACACACACACGTACACACATCTAATGCTCCTAATCTAAACACTCTGGATGGGAGACGGGACCTTTTAAACAATCCATGCAGCGTAACTGAATTCCACAGCATCACTTCTCCAAATGTTGATGCACAGAGGCCATGCACGATGCAGGCAATTTGTGTGATTATTAACAAGTCAAAAACTGAAATTTGGTGGCATATGGATGCCAGAAACTACACAGGATCGATTATTTGATGCCTCAGTCTAAACAAGTGTTTCAGATGAGAATGCACACACTTGTATTCCAACATCTTTCTGCTTTGCCACTTCCTCCCTGAGAATCTACTGGAAGCCGTCTGATGGGTGACACCAAACAAACTGAGCAACACTCATGGACACAGCAAAGGAAGAACAAGGCGAGAAGGAGCAAAAGCCCCATTCATCATGGCTATCCCACAGTCAGATGTCAAATTGTTTAAAGGGTCTTTTTATCAGTCCTTGGTGCCTGGAGCCAGTCACCAAATAAATAAGAGCCTGCGACTAAGCTGTAGAAATGGTTCACATTCTACAATGAATTAACTGGTTTTATCTGAGCTGCTGGGTGCAGTGTGTGAAGTCTTGTTGAGTGTCTGCACATATTCCTGTGAACGTACCTGGAGACTGAAGTATTTATAACCGCAAATCCTCTAAGTACATCCTCACAAAGCATTTCAAGCTGACCAACGTAAACAGGAAAATGAAAAACAGCTGCTTCCATAGAGGAACAGGCTCTGGATGTGGAATATTGCAAGTGTGTGTACAGAGCTGTTAATGGGTTTCAGAAGACATTTTCATGTCTGCCATTTATAGCAAAGTTGTAGGGCTGCATCTGTGGTCAAACTCCACTCTGAGGTCATCTTCCTGCCAACCAGAAAGATAAGAGGAAATCCCACGGCCAGCACACATTCACACACATACAGTGTACACACAAAGATCTGGTGACTGTCAGCTAATTAGCTCCTGTCATTGTTCTCCTGTGGAAGGAAGACACACACCCTGTCCTCCCTCTCTGTGCTTTAAACACACACTGACACACACTCTCCAGCCTCCTTCTCTTAAACATGTCCTCCCTTGTGTCGTGCTCACAACAAATGAATACTATTGTGCACAGTGACATGAGAGGGTGCAGTATATTGTGAAACAATACTCAACTCCCACTGTGGTCCTGATGAAACACCAAATGATGTTCCATGACAAAGTAGATGCTCTTTCAACATGTAAAAATGTTCTTCCTTCCCGATTTGTTAACGTGCTTTTTGAGGCTAGTTTCCACAAGGGCTGGGATCAAAAGCACCACTTAATGTAATAATTATACACAAAATCAACTGCAAAATGAATTCCACTCTGTTCATGTAATGTGCCTCATTATTCAAATTTCCAGATGTTCCCTGGCTTCCTCAAAAAAAAAGAAGTTGCACGGTTGGAATACAGTTCTAAAGTAATCATTTACTGTATACAAATGTCCTTTATCTCACACAACTCTCAGTCCTGAGGTAAGCCAGCTGCGACTGACAATCTGGAGGTACAGCACCAGGTCTGCAGACCTGCTGAGTTACTGCATAGCTAACACAGCAGAGTAGAACTGAGGGGCAATGAGCGTGTGTGTGTGTGTGTGTGTGTGTAAAAGTGTGTGGAGAGGCGTTAAGCCACCTGTGGAAACAACAACCAGCGACAGGCACGTCCCACCATCCTACACCAGCATAAATATACACCCTCTCATCAGCCAGACACATTCAACACAAACAGACACAACGAGCAATTTAAACTGAAGTAACCTGAACCAGTGTCAGCTGTTACTGTGGTGCCAAAGACGCGTGTTGCTATAAACACTGCCATCCTGGCACATACAGTCTGAGAAGGTACCACAGCAATACAATATGACAACAGTATACACAGTCTAATAGACCTCAACACCATATGTTATGTTAATATAAGATGCTATAAATGATTTTATAGTACAATATGTTACAATATGTTGTCATATATGCTGTGATACTGTAAGTTATGTTGTGATACCATATGTCACAATAGGATTCGACAATGACTGTTACGATGCAGTATGTTATGATATAATATGCTACAATAAGGTATGTTCTACTGTAATATGTAATGATACAATATATGTTACAACAAAATAAAAGATGCTATCACATGATGCAGTAAGATATGGCTTCACACAAGGACTTTGGCTAAAAAAGATGCACTAAAGTTAGTAAAGTCAGGATAAAGATCAGGAATATGTCATCAACATGTGTAAAAATAAAAGCCTAAAATACTGATCAAACTTTCTGCACCAGCCATTAACACTTGACAGTTTAATATAAAATGTCTGAAGACCTTCTGTAACATTAGCCGACAGGAAGCCAGTTAATCTCTGCCACGATTCTACCGCCCTTCTGTTCATACTCAGGATCACCACCGTACCACCTTTCAGCAAATTCCCCTGGCAATTCAGTTTCCCCCTGGAAACAAGGTAGGGCTTCACTCAGCTAAAGATCTGGGTCTGTTGGGGACAATAGGGATCTTTGTAGAGGAGGAAGTAGAAACCTTTAGTCTAAGGAATGCCAGACATGCGGCTCCAATTCGCTGAGCCCAGAAATGTGATCTGGTGTAACAATGGCTGCCGACAGAGGAGTAGGGGGGCACGGTATGTGTGTGAGCAGCAGAGGACCTAATCTGCCCAGTGTTACATGCAACGTGCTCCAGATACCACAGAAGGAAATGATAATCTGAGCTGCTCTAACCAAACTCCTCTATCTGAATTTCTTCCTGTTTTCAAAGTGGGTCATCTTTTCATGTGCAGAGTCAGCAGCTGCTCAGTAAACAACGATTTCCTCATAAGGATTCCTGGCATAAATATTATCAAATAACATCCATGGGGTTCAACATCTTAACGAGTGCCTGATGTGAAAATGGCTCAGTTCCTGTGGGTCATGTGTTTCTCTGACAAGTTTCTATTGATGCTCATAGTTGCCTGAGATTTGGGAAACTGCCAGACACTTTGATAAAACATCTGAAAATCTGAAGTAAGAAAAATGTGTGTCCCGCGGTCCACGCCAGCATGTAGACGAATCTTCCATGAGCCTGAGATGAGCAGTGAAATGATTCACTTATTGACAGAAGATTTAACAGCAGCAATTTTAATGATGCTCTCATCAATATCGTAATAAAGTGAAAGACGTCAGTGGCAGTGATGGACCCACACAGCTCTGCAGTTCCTCACACCTTTATGAAGCATTTTAGCATCCTTCAAACTCACTGCTTTGGTTTTGCATCTGTAGCTGTTTGCCAACACTTTTGTCCGTTTGCAATGCTCAAGCCAAGTAGCAAAACAAAAAAAAAAACCCAACAATGAATTATTATTTAAAAAACAAAGAATAACAATGCTAACAGGCTACAGCTTCTCAAATGAGAATTTTCTTTTTTAGCAGTGTATCTGTCTGGGACTGCTGGACAAGCCATTTAAAACCATCACCTCAGGCTCTGATAAATTGTGGTGGGGTTTGGGTTTTTGTTATTTTCTGACATTTTAAAAACTCACTTGTAAGTAATGAAAACAGCAATTATTTGCAGCCCTGCCTGACCTTTAAGAAGGTTCTGAGATGCATTTTGCTGATTCGTACTCTGGAAAATGACAGAAAGCCTCGGGCGTGCTGGTGCTGGAGTTGTTTTGTTTACCTTCGCTGTCTTCCTATTCTGCTTGGATCTCAAACAAACACCTCTGCAGCTCATTCAGACATGCAGACACTAAGCCGTAAACCGCTTCCTCTGCCGGTGAAAAAAGTGCGGCGCATCAAAGGCTGCAGCCTTGGTCCCAGCGGGCCCCACCCTGAGGCTGGGAACCAAAGCCAGCACAGACAGGCAGGGTGGGGGACAAATGGAAAGCAATACAACAGGCAGGCATTTACCTTAATGACCCGAATTACTCTCATCACCCTCCCTTTTAAACACACACACCAGGTTGCTCATTAGGCCACTCATCACCACAGAACATAGACCACCACAGTGTGTGTAGGTGTGTGTTTCTGAGGGAGAGGCATGGCAGTCCAGTGTTTGTCTTCATCTCTGCACCCTGGTCTTTGTCCCAAGCGCCTGCTGGGGTCTCACACACACACAGCCCTCCCTAGCACACCTCTGGAGATAAGGGATGGATCTGATTGGCCGCAGCCAGTGGGCGTCCCTACAAAGACACCAGTCAAGCCGAAAGCTGGGTCAATCAGTCACTGGGTGTATGAGATTATGTGAGAGTTGGGTAAGGACTGAAGGTGGGTGGAGGGTCTGGCTCCATCTCAGACCCGTTGGTCTAATAGGACCCCCACCCCCCCACCCTTTTTTTTTTTTGCTGTTTTATGAAGCAAAGAGAAAAAGAAAAATGGCTCCAGGCGGCCAGCCAACACCGCAATAAAACAAAATTCTCACTGTGGCCGACTTTCATTTCTCCGCCTTTCCACTTGCACAACACACACATGCAGGGGTGGAGGAATTTGAAATTTGAGCTCTGTGTTTTTCTTGCTTTTAGTGCTCCAGAGCCTGAAAATGAGGATAATCTGCTGATGCCTTTACTTTCATTTTTCCTGGAGACTAAAAGCCAAAAAAGGGTAACGAACAAACTTTAAGATAGAGTAGGTACTTTATTGATTTCTGATGCTGCTTAAGATGCTGCTTCTGCTGCACAAACGAGGTCCAGCTGCTGTCAAACGTGTGTACAGTTAGAATTTGAAACCTGATTCTGTATTTTTGTTTCTCTTAAAGAGGAAAAACATTTCACCCTGAATTCAACATTCGAGAAAGTTACTCAAACGCTGCTTAGGAATTCCAGGCCAAAGGCCCGCAACAGCTGGCTGTCGGCTTGTCCCCGCCCATCACCCACAACTCCCCCCCGCACACACTCACACATGCACCACATGCTTGCACACACACAACATACGCCAGACTCATGCATGTCTGCTGTGCTATTCACTGCTCGGGCACTGATGTATGAGAAAACACGTTAGTTTACACACACACACACACACACACACACACACACACACACACACACACACATGGGGGATGCAGCAGCTGGTTTGGACCCAAAGTCCAACAAAGAGATAAAGCTGGAGAGAATGCACAACACAATCCCCCCACGCATACCAGACACACCAGGAAGAATTTCAAAGTGTGTTCTCCAGATGTATGATGATGAACTCGATCACCAGACTTCCTTTAGTGTTTCTGCTTTAGCTTTGCTCAGCTGGGAAAAATTAATCAGTCAAACCTATTCCTTTGGTGAATTTCTGTGTTAGGGCTGAACTGTAATACTAAACGTTTCCATGTAGGCAAAAGGCGAGCCTCTCCTAATCTCAGGGAAAATGTGTCTAGCTTGTAAGAACAGTGTTTCCGGACTATGAGAAAGGATTAGCCTAGCGCTGTTGATTAAAATGGGTCACTGACTCAATTTCATTATTCAAAAGAGCAAGCCTAGCCTGGAGAGGCCTTTGTCATGACTGGGACATTTTGAGGGGAATTCCTGAGCAGTAGTGTTAGTTTCTGAACATATGGCCAAACACCTTTCTACAGTTAACAATCATCTTACTTTCACACCTGCACTTTCTATGTCCGGAGGGGGCACAGGGGGTCTGTGCAAGTGAACTGTGTGTTTGGACGTGCCCAGGCATCTCACCAGAACTAATTTGCAGTGACACACAACTTGAAGCACAGGGGGAGATGATGGAGAATACGATTACCTGAGGTGTCCCACAGACTGAGCTCAATCCTCTGTGTGTCGATTTCGAAGCTGGCTGTGTAGTTTTCAAACACTGTGGGGACGTAGCTCTGCGAGGAAACAGAGGGAGCACATATTAGAAAGCAAACCTGGTGAGAAATATGGTGTTTATACCTTTCCCTTTGACTAAAATCACCAAACTGAACCTTCTATGCAGAGGAATAATACCACAACTATTTGATCAACTGCAGCTGGTATGACCTTTACCACTAGTGTATTACATACACTGGAGTCACAGATCATCTTTCATGAGTAATGGAAACTTGCCTAACCTCTTAACCCTGTAGTTTACCACAGGTAGCACCATTCTACAGCTCTGTTTCCATTATTACACCTGCAATTAATGTAAGCATTAGCCTACAGCTACAACTGCATGGTACACAATTGATGTCCTTCATCATAACTGAAGTATTAAACAGTCAGACACGTCCGTGTCCTTAAAGCAGGGGGTAACCTATTTAGATCATCACATCACAGTGTGGCCCACTATTATAATCAGGTTAACGTAATAATCACGTTGATCAGTCTGCGGGGTCTCACCTCAGGGAAACAGTCCTTGGCAAACACGTGAAGCAGCGCAGTCTTCCCGCACTGGCTGTCCCCCACCACCACTATCTTGCACTTCACACTCGGACTGGGATCCATGCCGGGTTTCAAACAGGCTTTCTGACACGAGCGTCTCTCCTTCATTGATTTCAGTCGGGATTCAGTGTAAAAAGAAGGAGTCCAACCCTGTATGGGACTGAATCGTCGAGATATGAAGCGACAGATGCGGTCACGGTGGCTCCCTGCCCGTCTGCCTGCTCCGCCTGCTATGAGCC